TGTCCCTTATACCACTTAAACTCATATTTGCTGAGACAAACTACAATGGCATCCCCCAAAGTTTGTCCCCTATGCTTCCTAGTTTTGTAGTGCCAATTTCCTATAGAAACTTGGTCATTACAGTAGCATATGTAAGGTCTACATCCTAGTTATTAAAACTTGGGATAGACATAATCATGTTCATGCACATCATTGAGGTAAGGATGGCCTTGTTGCATTTGGTGGCACGGTACAGGATAAAATATCAAGGGGCAGCAAAAAATTATGATGTTCATTGCGAGGGAGAGAGAAATGAGTAACGAGCCAGTGAGTAATCGGAAGGGGATAAGGGAGAATAGATGCATATGTTGTCCCTCCAGTGAGCGCCTTGCTGTCTTACTTGGAGGCATACATTCGCTCATGTTTCAGGGCTAAAAACAAACTTGTTCGCTCAGGAAGGCGGAAGAAAATAGGAAACAGTAGCAAGAGAACTGCCTTTGACAATGTTCTAGTAAAAAAGTCGAACGGCAAGCGGGCATAAATGAGAGGTATTTTTGGTGTTGCTCAAAGAAACCCTCCAATCAAGATTGGTAACAAGTTCGCATACCTGAAAAGGAAGATAGAAAGATAAATTAAACTCATACTTGCAGAGAATGTGGACCTCTTTTGCATACGAGCGAAACTTATTAAGATCGTCAAGATTATTGCAATACGTGCAGTCTACTTTAATAAACTTGTGGTGTGGTTTATGAGACTTTTTGTGTGCTTTAAGAAAATTGTGGTCTACTTTATGTAACTGTATTATAGAGTGAGGCAACTAGTATACCATGCCTCTCAATTTGGATGAAGTGTTGGTCGAAGACGGCAATGAAAAAATAGCATGGAAAGTGCAAGATAAATAGAGCGTGCGAATCAAAATTACCTGAATCAATTTCAAAGGATAGTTGGGCGTGTGAATCCAAATTATTTGAATCAGATTTAGAATCGATTGAAATTGGAATTGATTGGCAGTATTGATTTGGGGCAATTGGTTGTTAGAATGGAGGAGGAGGAGGAGAGGTCAGAGATTGAGAGAGATGGGAGATAGAAACAAAGAGAAAGAGCACGGGAGACAGAGAACAGTTGGTGGTAGGATAGGAGGAGAAAAGGTTTGTTCTTAGTTGTTATTAGGGTTGGGTGAGTCCATGATAGGGTCTGTCAGCTTATCTTTGGTTCAATGAAATGTGTGAACTGGCCCACTGGACAAAGTGGACTAGAATGTAACTTTTATAAGTTATGAGGGTATCGTAATTTAATTTTAAATCAATAACTCATATTAACAAAAAAATCTAACCAGAAATAATGCTACCTGTTGAGATAGAGAGTAGGTTAGAGCTTGCCTGATGTACAATATTCTCCTGTTTTTACCTGGAGCATGATAGATGCCACAAACATACACAATCAAAGTTTCTAGCCACTTATATATGAAGGAAAACACAAAGACATTGAAATGGCATCAGGAAAGCGTAACTTCTAAAAAAAAGTCGCCTTATGTCCATTTTGGCATCTGTGGTGCCAAAAAAGTGCCTCTTTCTTCCTCTAATATTTTTGGAGAAATTCCAAGCTATGAATGTAGAGGAACCCCTTTATAAAGTTGTATCTCATATGGAGTTCAATAGGATCTATTTATAGACTTGGAAAGTATGTTTCCTTAGAGTTTACTACGGATAAATAATCTTTTGGAGCCTACCACCTCCACACATAAATCGAGTTTTCAATTCCTTCAAAGTTTTGGTATGTTTCTACGCGGTAAACCGTTTACCGGCTTACCGTTTGTCACCCCTAGTAGTAAACCGTTTATCGGCGGTATCGACAGTCGAGGGTCAAATGGGGAAGCTCGGTTTACCGGCTCCAGTGTCGGTAAATACCGACGGTAATTCGGTAATACCGATACCGGACTAGTTAAGGCATTAACATATAACATATACTTCATTATTCACAAATATTACATACATGAATGGAAGTAAGTAAATTAGGCATCAAAAATATTATAAATAAGAGTTAATAATAAATTATTAATTACAAAAATGAAGAAAAAAACTTAGAAAAATAAAATATTACAACATCACCCCACTGCTTAGAAATTCGGTTCGGTAATTTTCCGGTTAACTGAACCGAAAAACCGTTCGCAACTACTCCTTACGGTAAGTCGGTAAAACCGGTTTGTAACCGTTTACCGGTAACTGATATTGGTAATCGATTCTCACTTACCCACACTCGACATACCGAAAAATGGTAAAATCGCTAACCGGTTTACCGATTACCGACCGAATACCCCCTAAATTCTACCCCTATTGGGTCTCCATTACCTCTTATGAGACATGTTTTGTTGTACCAATCTATTTTTTTTTTATCTAGTACAAGATTTGTAAACCACTAATGTGGTTAGGTTCTCTTGGTTAATTTATTGCTACCTTTAAATTGCTAGTAAATCGCTACCTAAGATCGAAGTTAAATGTCATTATTTGTATTTAGCGAGTTACATGATTGTGAGTAGTCTTTGCTCAGGGAAAAGAAAAAACTAAAATGTGGGGTAATTTGGTGACACTTGAAAACTATCTTTTATCATAGGCTTTTCTTAGCAATATTCCCACCATTTTTGCATTTTTTGCCATTTCACTTTAACTTTTGCGTCCTATTTGTCCTCGATGCATGTTATAGCTAGATTCAATGAGTATCTTTATACTTTTGATGGCCACTAGGATAATTATATCGATGTTTCAGTCCTGGATATACTGGATGATGATTGCACAATCGGAGCATAAGTGATACCTACATACGAGGAGGCAATATGATTTGTATTTCGCAGGACTGTTAAATTTAATTTTGTAGGTATCAATATGTAATTAGCAACATTAGCTAAAAGGGTTTTTCCCTATATAGGGTTCTGTCGAGCCTCCTTATACACTTAACGAGTATAGTAAAACTTCAAGAAGAGCACAACCTCTTTTGTGGATTAATCCTGTTCATCAGGAATACCATGTCGAATCTCGTGTGTTCTTTACTGCGTTATTAATTCTTTAGAAGGACATCTAGAAATGTCCCTACTTTAGACAAGTATTGGTGATTCAAGATTTTTCAAGGTTTTTCAAGAATATAAAGCATGGTAAAGGCTGGTAATGAGTTAGGGGTGTGAAATGGTTTGATCAACACTGGATCACATATCAAATCAAATATAATGCGGTTCGGTCATTAGTCTCCTGAATTTTATACTACTGAAGAATAATGGAATGAAACCATATTTAAACTAGATAAAAAATAATGATGGTTCGGTTCTTGATTCTAAGATTTTTATTATTATTGAACTGCGCTTCTCATGGTTTGATCTTATCTGTCCTACACAGGTGCACACCCCTAGTAACGGGTTGTCCAAAAAAATCATCGAACTATATAAAAAATAGATATCATTTTGTAAATGGTGTTCATTTTGAACAACTTTTTTCAAAATCCACATTAAAAAGATATACAAGGCGATTAAAAAAATAGTAAATTTAGAAAGTCCTTAAATCACACCCCTCATATTTGGTCCTGCAAAAAATCAGGAGACCACATCTGATTATCGGGTCCGGATCCCATCAGTAACCATCAGGTGAGTAACCCCATGCATAACCCAATAAGAATCCGCCACATCAGCGCCACCTTCTCTCTCCTCGAAAAACCTTTAATTTTCCTTTCCTAAATCTTAAACGGACGATTTCTCACTCGTTTTAACTCGAAATTTAATTTTTTTGCACAGTTAGATCAGATTAATTGTGCTCTTCAAAATGATATCCACTTTGATATTTTTTTGGAACAAAAAAAATTTGCCAGTTATTACCAGTCTATACCATATGGTATTGACTGGTATTAAATAACAACATACCATATGGTATGAAAAATACCACCCCGTACTAGGATGGTATAGTATGGTATGAAGTTGGTAACGAGAAGCATGAAATTTTTCACCCAGAAAATTTTGAAATCCAATAGATCATGATTAAATCGTTCCTTCTGTACAAAAATTTGTGAAAAATACTAAACAACGAAGGAGATACCATATGGTATGGAGTTGGTAACGAGAGGTATGAAATTATTTTCTCAAAAAAAATTGAAAATTAATATCATTTTGTAGAGCACAACGAACTCGTTCCATCCGTGCAAAAAAAAAATATATTGAAACCGAGTTAGAATGAAAAAGATGTGATCCATTCAAGAAAACTAGGGAAAATAAATTATTTTAATTCTCAACCCTTAGATCTGCAGCCACTTAAAAGTAAGGGTCCAAATTTGGTTACTCATAGTTACTCACCCTATCTTAAGCCCTGATTATCACAAATTTATAATAAAGAAATATACTCCCTATCCCATACCTAATTAATTATCACTAGAGATGGCAATGAAGCATGTTTGGAGCGGATTTCTCTGTACTATCCCTTATCCATTTCCAAATACATAAACCCATTCCCGCCCCAAACTCCCGCGGGGATAGGATTTGCAACTCCATCCACATATCTGCAATTTTGGGAGTACTCGTGAATGATAAGTCTCCCCGTATATCCAATATTACTATACTAACAATTCAACATATAGACATTCAATTACATGTAAAATTCATAACAAATTAAGGACATAAAGTGGTGGATACTCGATAAAGCCTTAGTTATCGCCCAACTATCACAGTTCAAGTCAGCCCGCTCATTCAAATTTACCCGCTCAACTAGCCCGTAAACCGAGCTTAAATAATAATTTTATCCAAATAACTAACAATACACCACATGATTCTTGTTTGTTTCGTTCAAAGTCTTCTAGCTTTAAATAATTAAACGAGGTCAAACAAAGAGAGCCTCCATATTCTAAATATTTTCAAGTTTCCACAGCAAGTAATGGCTTTTCCTTTTCCCGGGAACCCCACATGGCCACATCGTACCTTCCATAAAAAGGCACAAGGTCTCAGGCAACAAATCAAGATCCTCCTTCATTCCTTCCTTTTGCCCTCGCCAGCCATGGACTGCTGCTCCTACTCCCAAACCCTTTGTTTCCCTTCACCAATCCTCGCCACTACTACTCTACTCTTCCTCACACTCTCCTCCATCCTCATCCTCCTCCAACGCCGCCGCCGCCGCGAATCAAACACCTCCGCCGGCGCATCCCCACCGCCTCCTCCAGGACCGACAAAGCTGCCCATAATCGGCAACCTCCACCAGCTCGCCGGCAGCTCCCTCCCGCACTACCGACTCCGCGACCTCTCCACCCAATACGGCAGCGTAATGGGCCTCCAGCTGGGCCAGGTCCCTTACGTGGTCATCTCATCCGCCGAATCCGCAAAACAGGTCATGAAGGCCCACGACGCGGTTTTGGCCCAGCGGCCCGCGATCCTCTCCGCGGGGATCATCAGCTACGATTTCTCCGGCATCGGCTTCGCCCCTCACGGCGCCTACTGGCGCCAGATGCGCAAGATCAGCGTCCAGGAGCTGTTCAGCGCGAGGCGGGTCGGGTCGTTCCGGTCGGTCCGCGAGGAAGAGTCTGTTAACAAAGATAGGAGGCAAACTGACAGCTTTATTCCATAGTGCTGAAAGAATATAAATACACCTCAGAGTTGCCTACAAACTTGGCAACTGCCTGACTTTAACGTTGAGCTAAATCAGCTAACAACTAAACCTCTAAGCTGCAATCAAGGAACTAATCAACTGCTTGCTAACAATGCGCAGCAGGACTTTATTTGACCAAAAACAAACTAATGAACAGAATGATCCAAACGGTGCACTTTGATAACGGTGTTCTTTGATTAATCAAAACGCTGCACTTCAGTCTCCAAGCAAAACGCTGCACTTCAATCTTCAAGCTTCAAATTCAATCTTCGCGCCTCTTCACTTCAACATCCTCCCCTGAACTGAAGCATCTCCTGCCAGCTTCAGTTCACTTCCTCAAGCTCAGCTCCATCATACATTCCAAGTCTATTTCGTAGCAGCTGGAAAGTCTCAAGCTTTAATGGCTTGGTCATGATATCAGCCACCTGATCAGAGGTTCCACAATGCTCTAACTCCACAATACCATCCTTTGCAAGCTCCCTTAGAAAATGAAAGCGTACATCAATGTGTTTGCTTCTGCCATGCATTACAGGGTTCTTTGATAGTTTGATTGTAGAGCTGTTGTCACACATAATCCTTGTTGCTCCTTCGACACTTTTCTTCCAATTCATCTGCTCTAGTACTCTTCGAAGCCAAACACATTGAGCAGCACATGAGGAGGCAGCCACAAATTCTGCTTCTGTTGTCGACAGAGTGACGACTGGTTGCTTCTTGGAGGACCAAGAGATGGCTCCCCCTGCAAGAAAAAAGACATAACCACTGGTGCTTTTCCTGTCGTCCAAATCGCCTGCATAATCACTATCTGTATAGCCCAATAGAGAATCAACTTCATCAAATTTCTTATACAGAATTCCATGATTCATCGTGCCTTTGAGGTATCTTAAGATCCTCTTTGCTGCCAGCATGTGCAATCTGGTAGGTGATTCCATAAACCTGCTTAGCAAGCAAACTGAGTACATAATGTCAGGCCTGGTGGCTGTGACATACAGCAAGCTTCCAATAAGCTGTTTGTACTCAGTAGCATCTGCCTTGATCCCATCTCCAGCCTTAGTCAACTTAGTTCCACTTACCATAGGACTGTGAGTTAAATTGCAATCAGCAAGATGAAACCTCTCCAGCACTTCCTTGATATACTTGGACTGGTTAATGAAAATGCCAGGGTTAGATTGATTTACCTCAACCCCAAGAAAGTACTTCATCCTTCCAAGATCTGTCATCTCGAATTCAGACTTCATGGACTGCTTGAACTCTTCAAGCATGACTGAGCTGCTGCTGGTGTACATCAGATCATCAACATATAGTGAAACCAGCAGGATATCAGCTCCAGATCTTTTAATGAACAAGGTATGTTCATAGTCACACCTTTCAAACCCATTCTTCAGAAAATAAGCTTCAATTCTGCTGTACCATGCTCTTGGGGCCTGCTTCAATCCATAGAGTGCCTTCTGAAGCTTGTATACCTTGTTTTCCTCCCCAGGAACCACAAATCCTTGTGGTTGCTCAATGTAAACTTCCTCAGTGAGTTCACCATGTAGAAAGGCACTCTTAACATCTAGCTGGAAGACTGTTAAGCCATGATAAGCAGCTAATGCTAAGAATGTTCTAATGGTGTCCCACCTAGCCACAGGTGCAAACACCTCTGTGTAATCGATTCCATACTTCTGAGCATAGCCCTTTGCCACTAATCTTGCCTTAAATTTGTCCACAGAACCATCCTCCTTGAGTTTGGTTCTATAGACCCATTTGACACCAATTGGGGTCACTCCTGCAGGCTTGTCTGTGAGAATCCAGGTATGATTTTTCTTTATAGACTCAATTTCCTTCTTCATAGCCTCTCTCCATATCTCTTCCTGTACAGCCTGCTCGAAAGTTTGAGGATCACTGGTAGTTGCCACCATCACTAGCCAATCAGCATCTGTATAAGTGCAATCATAGATGCTTAAGTAACCTGGAGGTTTTCTGGTTCTGGATCCCAGATCACCTCCTGCTGGCAGTCCCAGTGCATCCATAGGAGTTGTGTCTTCCTCTCCACTGTCATCTTGCAACTCAGGAGATGACTCATTGGCTGCAGCAGTACTAGCAGGTGTGAGAGGGGTAGCAGGAGCAGCATCAACCAACTCATCATTTTCAGCAAAATCTTCTTCTTCTTCTTCTGAGTCATACCAGGGATTATCATCTCCTTCCCATCTTAAACTTGTTGGAGCAGGTTGTTCATTAGATTGCCACACCCAACCTTCTTGTTCATCAAAAAACACATCTCTGCTAGTGATGACTTTTTGTGTAGCAGGATTATACAGTTTATAAGCTTTGGACTCCTTAGAAACTCCAAGAAAATGACACTTGATGCTCTTATTATCAAGTTTTTTCCTCAGATGATCATGCACATGCACATAGGCTGTGCAACCAAACACTTTTAGATGATCTACTGAAGGTGGTTTACCTGTCCAGAGTTCCTGTGGAGTTTTGCCACCATTGGCTGAAGTTGGACTTCTGTTGAGAATGTGGGTTGTCCAATCCACAGCTTCAGGCCAAAACGAGGCAGGTACCTTGGTGTCCTCCAGTGAGCATCTAACCATATTCATGATGGTTCTATTTTTCCTTTCAGCTATGCCATTTTGCTGAGGAGTCAAGGCTGCTGTTAACTGTCTTCTGATGCCAGCTTCTTCACAAACTTCTTTAAACTCAGTGAGCATGAATTCTCCTCCCCTATCAGTTCTTAAACATGTAATGAACTTCCCAGTTTCCTTTTCTACTTGTGCTTTGAATTTTTTGAACCATGCAAGAGCTTCTGACTTGGCCACCAGAAAATAAATCCAAAGCTTTCTACTGTAGTCATCAGTAAGAGTCAAAATATACCTTTTCCCTCCATTTGAAACCGGGGTGATAGGTCCACATAAATCAGCATGAACAAGCTGCAAGGGTTGAGTTGCTCTCCAAGCTCCTTTCTTTGGAAATTTGATCCTGTGTTGTTTGCCAATCATGCAAGTGCCACATACTCCCAATTCTCCAGTCAGTTGTGGAAGACCTTGAACTCCTCCTGTCTTCTGCAGATGCTTCAAGGCTTTAATGCTGAGATGACCAAACCTTCTGTGCCATAGGTTTAGGGCTGAATTCTGAGCAACATTGGTCTGCAGACAGTTCAGATCCTTTTTTATGTTGTTGCTGTGCTCAGATTCCAACACAAACATCCTGTTTGTCTTCATAGTGGTCTGCAGTAACAATCCTTTTGACTCCTGGAAAATTTTGCAAACTCCACTCTTGAACACAAACGTCAGATTCCTTTCTTGAAGCTGACCAACACTGAGTAGGTTGGTTTTCAAACCAGGCACATAAAACACATTTTGCACAGTTAGAGGAACCTTGTCAACCACCAATCTGATGCTGCCTTTTCCCAAAACCTCCAGCTTGTGACCATTGCCGAGTTTCACCTCACATTTGAAGCCTGTATCAAGCTCCAGAAACCATGTTTTATCACCACTCATGTGATTACTACAGCCACTGTCCAAAAACCACCATCCTTCAGACTTCTGCATCTGATTAGCTTCCAGTAAAGCCATCAGAGTCTGCTCAGACTCTTCTTCATCCACATAAGCCATCAATAAAACATCATCCTTCATATCAGAATGAGAGGAACCATAATTTGAATAATGAACCTGCTGCTGATTGTTCCATTCAGGACATTCAGCTCTGAAATGTCCCATCTTGTGACATTTAAAACACTCCACCATATCACGATTCCAGGTCCTTCCACCTCTTCCTCTTCCTCTTCCCTGATATCCTCCTCTGCCTTGTCCCCTTCCTCTTCCACCATACTCATGAGTCACCTTTAGAGCCTGATCTTCCTCGGATGAGTGCCTAGAAAATTTCTGCTCATGAACAAGCAGAGAACTCTGCAAGGCATCTACTGACAGTTCTGATATATCCTTAGATTCCTCTATAGAGCATACAATATAATTGAACTTTTCTGTTAGGGTTCTAAGGATCTTCTCAACAACCTTCTCATCAGTCATTGACTCACCACAGTTCCTCATTGAGTTTGCTATGACCATCACTCGGCCAAAGTAGTCTGTAACAGACTCTCCTTCCTTCATTTCCAAGATTTCAAAGCTCCTTCTGAGAGCTTGCAGCTGTGCCTTCTGCACTCTTGCATTCCCTTGATATCTGATCTTCATAGAGTCCCACAATTGCTTAGCTGTAGACTTCTGTGTGATAGTCTTCAGAATAGTCTTGTCAATAGAACTAAAAAGATAGTTCTTAGCCTTCAGATCCTTGAGCCTTAAGTCATCCAGGGTCTTCATTTGTGCTGCACTCAACTCTTCTCTTGCATCAGGTTCCTGGAAACCATTTTGCACAACACTCCAGTACTCTTTTGAACGAAGCAGATTTTCCATCAGCAGGCTCCAATGGTCATAATCCCCATCAAACTTGGGAAGACCAACCTGGGCAAAGCTGCTGTCACTCATTTCTGCTTAACCACACTCAGATATGAATCACTCACCCAATAATGATTTCCTCACGATTCTCTCGTGTTTCCCACACCCAGATAACTTCAGATTTCACACCTCAACTCACAAATCTCTCTACACTCACAGAACAGTTTCGTTTGGTTACAGTTTGCACTTGTGCTCTGATACCACTTTGTTAACAAAGATAGGAGGCAAACTGACAGCTTTATTCCATAGTGCTGAAAGAATATAAATACACCTCAGAGTTGCCTACAAACTTGGCAACTGCCTGACTTTAACGTTGAGCTAAATCAGCTAACAACTAAACCTCTAAGCTGCAATCAAGGAACTAATCAACTGCTTGCTAACAATGCGCAGCAGGACTTTATTTGACCAAAAACAAACTAATGAACAGAATGATCCAAACGGTGCACTTTGATAACGGTGTTCTTTGATTAATCAAAACGCTGCACTTCAGTCTCCAAGCAAAACGCTGCACTTCAATCTTCAAGCTTCAAATTCAATCTTCGCGCCTCTTCACTTCAACAGAGTCGGCCAATGCGGTGGACCGGATCCACGCCGCGGCCGGGCGGGTGCTCAATTTCAGCAAGTTGGCCTGCTCCGTCACTAATGGGATCGTCGCCAGGGTCACTTTCGGGAAGAAATACAGCGGCCAGGAGGAATTCATTCCCCTGATTGAGGAGATTACGAAGGTGGTGGGAGGGTTTAATGTGGCGGATCTTTTCCCTGCCCTCAAATTCCTTCCGGCAGCCACTGGGATGAGGAGGAATCTATTGAAGCTGAGAAATGAAGCTAGTAGGCTGCTGGAGGCTATCATTGATGACCATAGAAGCTGCAGGGGATCGAGGACAGGGGAAGATTCCGGCGGCGGCGGCGGCGGCGGTGATGAGGTGGATGATTTGGTCGATGTTCTTCTGAAGCTTCAGGCTAATGGCGAGCTCGACTTCCCTCTAACGGATGACAACATCAAGGCCGTCATTATGGTGAAGTTTCAATCTTTTTTTTCCCCCTCTCTCGTAATAAGAACATTCAAACTAGGACGTTTTCTATGGAGTGACAAACTAATTTAATCTCGTTTCTAACTAGTAACTTTTAATTGTTTGTCAAAAAAATTAAGGACATTTTCACGGCGGGGAGCGACACTTCGTCCACGACTATGAACTGGGCAATGTCAGAAATGATCAAGAATCCAAGAACTCTTCGAGAAGCACAAGCAGAGGTAAGAAGAGTCTTCGGACCAAAGGGTGACGTGGATGAGAGCTTGCTTCACGAGCTACACTATTTGAAGTTGGTGACGAAGGAAGCGTTGAGGCTACATACCCCTGCACCATTACTGGTCCCAAGGGAGTCCATGGAAGATTGTGAGATCGGTGGGTTTCATGTGAAAGCAAAGAGCAATGTGATTGTGAACGCATGGGCGATAAGCAGAGACCCCAAGTACTGGAACGATCCTGAGGAGTTCCGTCCAGAGAGATTCATTGACAGTTCAGTTGATTTCAAGGGATCAAATTTTGAATTCCTGCCCTTTGGTGCTGGGAGGAGGATGTGTCCAGGGCTAGTGATGGGGATGGCGAATGTTGACCTGCCATTGGCCAAGTTTTTATACCACTTTGACTGGAAACTAGCTGCTGGTATGAAGTATGAAGATTTGGATATGGATGAGTCGTTTGGGGGCACAAGTACCAGAAAAAATAATCTTATGTTGATTCCGATTCCGTACCACCACGATAATCATGCTCTTAAGTAGAATTCGTGGACTAGGAAAATAAAGCGCATATGGGGATATATATAGTTCAATTTAGTGTTATTGGAGAATTTGTCAAAAGGAGTAACTTGTACAAGTTGAAGTTTTTCATTTTTAAACATCGTAAACATCTTCTTGATGGTGCATGAGACTGAAACAAGGAACCATTCAAATTGTGATTGCCATTTTAATAGTAGTCTTGCAAGAGAAGTTTTTCAAACGTCTTGGATTGAAGCTATCACATCAAACATGGGTTGTGAATTTCGTTGTGTAAAAATCAAAAGAAACGAAAACGAGAAAGAGCACGAGACCGATTTTACGTAGTTTCTCCGATCAATGAAATCGAGACTAGTCCACGGAGAGGTTGAAGCTCTCGAGTTCTTTTATTACTTCGGCTTCTTTTCTCTTAGGGTTTTTGGCTGTCCCTTGCAGCCTATTTATACAAAACTAACACATCTTTACTCCATCTACGTAAACAACAAGGAGAAAAGGAAAATTACGGAAGTGATCCCTATATTTTAATACACTGTCCATAGGAATCACAACACTCCCCCTCAAGCGAAGGAGTGAATATCAAGAAGTCCAAACTTGACGAAGAGATGGTGAAACTGGTCCACACTTAATCCCTTCGTGAAGAGATTGGTCAGCTGGTCGGAAGTCGCAATCTTTGCAGGGGCAATGTCACGCAACTGAACCCGCTCACGAACGAAATAGCAGTCCATCTTGACATGTTTGGTGCGCTCATGAAACACCGGATTAGACGGAATGTGAAGTGCGGCCTGATTGTCGCAGAACAGAGGAGTCAGAGCTGAATGATGAACACCAAGATCACAAAGTAACCACCGGCGCGATATTCAGACTCAGCAAAGGATCCCGCCACAACTGTCTGCTTCTTCGTACGCCAGGAAATGGGAGAAGCACCCAACATAACAAAGTACCCAGTTGTGGACCGACGTGGATCAGCATCACAGTACGCAGTCAAAGTGAGAGAAGTGGATGTGGGAAAGAACAAACCACGACCTGGAGCGGACTTGAGGTACCGCAGAGCTCGAACGGTAACATCTTCATGTGCCTTAGTGGGCGCCTGCATGGCCTGACTAAGTAGATTCACAGCATAGGTAATGTATGGACAAATCACAGTGAGGTATAGCAGGCGACCAACGAGGCGCTGGTAAGAGCCAGATCAGCAGCCAGTGGTGAAGGAAGGCGACCAAGTTGATGTTGCTGCTCGATAGGCGTGAGCAAGGCTTGGCGGCTTCTAAACCACCATCAGGAAGAATGTCAAGGAGATACTTGCGTTGATTAAGAACCAGACATTTAGGGGAACAAGCCACTTCAATCCCGAGAAAATACATGAGATGACCGAGATCCTTAATAGTAAAACGAGAGTGAAGAAACTCCTTAACCTGAGAAATGAAACCCAAATCTGTGCCTGCTAGTATCACATCGTCCACATAGATGAGGACGAAAAACCAAAATATCACCTCGCTGATAAGTAAAAAGTGCATGATCAGCTCGACTCTGGACAAAATGGAACTCCAGTAATGACTGGGTGAATTTTTGGTACCAGTTCCTGAAAGCCTATTTTAAACCATAAATAGACTTACGGAGACGACAGACACGTTGCTCCCCCAGTCGAGCAAAACCCTGCGGGATCTTCATATAAACTTCCTCATGCAGATCACCATGCAATAAGGCATTGTTTACGTCTAACTTATGTATATGCCAGCCTCGAGCAACTGCTACAGCCAGGAGACAACATACTGTGACAAGCTTAGTTACCGGAGCAAAGGTGTCATGATAGTCTATACCCTCAACCTGAGTATAACCTTTTGCTACCAAGCGTGCCTTATAGCGCTCAATAGACCCATCTGGATGAAACTTTACCTTGTACACCCACTTGCAATCAATAGCTTTCTTCCCAGGAGGAAGAAAAACGATGGTCCGCGTACCATTTTCGTCTAGCGCATCAAACTCGCGTTGCATTGCTTCCCGCCAGTGCTGATACTGGACAACCTGGAAATAATATGAAGGCTCGTAAGCCGCGCTGACCGCAACGACATAAGCATGATGAGCAACGGACAATCGATGATAGGTGACATAATCGTCAAGAGGATAATTAACATTCGCGGAATGGGCTGCTCCCGGAAGCTGAACATCATACCCCCTTAATCGAGTAGATGGAAACTTCTAACGATTGCTGCGACGAACTGGTACAGGAGCTAAAGGAGAAGAAGATTCGGCAGTGGGTATAGTGGCATCCTCTGTAGTGTGCTCATGGGAGCTGTCAGAAGAGAAAGAGGAGCTTGGGGAAGACTCGGGCTCGGCAGTGCTGTCAACTGGATGCACATAATGCACCGCCTGCTGCTTGTTTTCGTGGAGAACGACTGGAGGCATGTAGGATGTATAAGATACTCGTCTTTGTCGTGATAGATGGGTGACGGCAAGTTTCCGAAGCTTGGCGCCGAAACAACAGCGGGAGTGAGTGATGTCCCAGCGTCTATGTCGCGATATGGGAAAACTCTCTCAAGAAACTTCACATCTCGAGAGACATGAATAGTGCGAGTCTCAAGGTCATAGATGCGATAGCCACGTTGATTGGAGGGATAGCCAAGAAAAATCCTAGCGCGGCCACGGGCATCAAACTTCTGTAGATGATGGGGTGTGTCGCGAGCATAGGCTAAGCAGCCAAAGCTACACAAATGATTATACTTCCGAGCTTTGTCAAAAAGAACCTGGAAAGGATATTTGTTTCCAATGGGAACCAGAGGCATTCGGTTGATCAAATAAGCTGCAGTCAATACACACTCGCCCCAGAACTTGAGAGGTAGATTTGCATGGAACCACAAAGCGCGAGCTGTGTCGAGCAAGTGCATGTGCTTGCGTTCGACCACATCGTTCTGTTGTGGAGTGTCAGTGCAAGAGGTCCGCAGAACAGTCCCGTTCTTTTCATATTAATCAGTAAGAACATTACTCGAAAATTCGTGACCATTATCAGCCTGGATTCGCCGCACCTGTTACCCAAATTATGTATGAACCATATTACAGAAGTATAATAAATGATGGGCTGCATCCGACTTGTATCCCAGTAAGAAAACCCAGACAGCAAGACTAAAATCATCGACAACAGTCAAAAAATAATGAGCTCCAGACACCGAAACAGTCTTATAACTTCGCCAAACACCCACGTGTATTAGTTTAAAACAAGATGTAGTCTTAATGCTGCTGAAATCGAAAGGATCACGTGTTTGTTTAGCCCTCAAACAAGACCAACAAGGCTCTTTATTATGAATAAAAAAATAGCCAATGGTAGACTCCAACAAATGCAACTTCGCCTGCGATGGATGCCGAGACGTGAGTGCCACAACTCCATATCATCCAAAGATCTCCAAACTGAATGCGCCATAGGGTGCCCCTGCTCGAACAACCCCATATAATATAGACCGTCGATGTGCTTATCCATTCCAATCAGCCTCTTGGAAGGTAAGTCCTGAATAATAAATAAGTCATTTAGGAAGATTAATGTGACTGCAGATCGACTATGAGTCTACTGACATATAAAAAGTTGCACAAAAAATCTGGAACATGATGAACACGACGTAATAACAAGTCGTTAGATAATTTGGTCATCCCAATACTATGAACCCGGACTCCAGTACCATTGGGAATCTTGACCTGTAATTTTGGGTTCGAGTCCAACTCGGAATCCAACAAATAATCATGATTAATAATATGTTCATTACATCCTGAATCAATTATCCAAGACGTCGAATTAGGTGAATGTGTACCTGCCATGATTGACGTTGGATCAGTAGAGGGTGACACTTGACGCAAATTGCCACTCAAAAGCAACTTAAGTTGCTCGAACTGCTGCGTTGAAAGTCCCGGCAAGGGGCTGCTGCCTGCGTCGACTTGAGCTGTTTGTGGTGAGCTCCGAGTCTCGCGATCAGCCTTGCGAGGAGGAAAGCCAATCAGCCGATAACAAGATTCGCGGAGGAGGCCTGTTCGTCAGCAGTGCGTGCACCTGGGTTTCCCTTCCGCATCTCGCTCCCTCTATTGATCACAGTCAGATCGTGGTGACGAGCGATCAAAACGTCTCTCCTCTTGAGTTTGAAACGCTGCTACTTCAGGACGGGGACGACGACTGCTAGCTATCTCCCGCTCCTACTCATCCATGGTAACAAGATGATACGAGTCAGCAAGGGAAGGAATTGGTCTCATGGCGAATATTTGAGACTTCACGGTGGAAAAGGCCTCATCCAATCCCATCAAAAAATCAAACAAGCGCTCCCCCTCTCGAACTTCCCGTTGACGTTTCTTGACGTCACAGGTACAGCTGGAGCGCGTACACTCCAGGGATGGAGTGAGGGACTCGATCTCGTCCCAATATCCGTGCAACTTCGTGTAGAATAGTGAAACGGAATTTTTCTCTTGTCGAAGAGAATTGATTGTCCCTTTCAACTTATACAACTGAGGAGCACTTCCTTGCCCAAATCTGGACTGTAATCCAGCCAGATTTTTCTCGCGGTAGAGGTAAAGTGCACGCTGTTACGGACTTCTTTGGTCGTGGACGTTTTCAGCCAGCCTCTCACCATCGCGTTACAGCGTCGAATGGCCTCTCTTTCCGTGGAATTCGTCGCTATCGGCAGACTCCCATCCATGAAGCAAAGTTTGTTCTTCGATATGAGTGAATCAGTCATGTCCATGATCCACTCTCCATAATTGACGTCTGTTAAGAGTTCCCCAACAAATAGATTACTAGGGTTGTCCGACCGATCGAGCTGCAAGTTCGAAGGAAGGGTTATCTGTGCTTCGGCATCACTATTCTTCACCATCTTCAACTTCTTGCTAGTCTCCTCATCATGCGAACCCATGATTGAAACTGCGGATCAAATCACAGCTCTGATACCATGTAAAAATCGAAAGAAACAAAAACAAGAAAGAGCACGAAATCAGTTTTACGTGGTTTCCCCGATCAATGTGATCGAGACTAGTCCACGAAG